GAGCATCCCTGTGTCCCAGCCTGGGATTGGGGGAGGTGCAGGAGCTGGAGTGGGAGTCCCCAGCCCCTCTCATGCTCTCTCTGCTGCCCAGGGAACAGTTCCCAGAGGGGCACTGCCATCGGGGACAGTCCTGGCTCTGATCACATAGTGATGAAGAAACCAGGCTGTGGGTTTCAAGGGTCCAATTTCACATTAACTCACGTGCAGTAGAGGCAGGGCAGCCCAGGACACCTTCAGTGCGGGTCACAAGGGACATATCTCCTGGGACAGCAGCTCTCTCAGGAATGCTAAGAATGGAAGGCCCACAGGACACCAGGCCTGGGTTCTTCATCTGCTCTCTGTGCAGGCTTTGGCTAGACTACTGTCCTTTCATGACAGCTAACCTGAGACCCCCACAGACAGCGGCTATAGTTCTTGCTGAAAGAGACCATCACCCGCCTTGCTGCCCCAGAGGTTCGAGTAGAAAGAAGCCCCTGACTCCAGGATACTTGGCAAATAGGCATGATGGCCCAAGCTGTGTTGTTAGCCTTCAGAGACTGAAATCCTATAGCTGCGTGGTGCCCAGAGGAGGCGGGCAGTGTTGGGCCAGGGCTGCCCATTCCAGCTGCTCCCTCCACCCACTCTGCTCAGTGTCTGAATATGGCATGTGTAACAGAGAAGAATCTACTCAGTCCATAAAAGGCAAATTTCTTCAGAAAAAGTATTATATCCGGATGTAGAAAGACACCCGTCTACATGAGTGAGAAATGATGGTTTTTCCACTAACATGTTTTCACACCAATAGCTATAGCGAAACGAAGTAACACCCTCCCTGGGTTAATTTTTTGTTGAAGTCACAAATGGGAGGGGTTAGGGATGAGGAGAGGCATTCAGTGGGGCTACACAATGGCCAATTACAGTGTCAAAATGCTGCAGAGGTTTGCTTTCCAGAGCCAGTCACAAATATGTCAGAATCGATGGGAGACGTTCTTTGAAGCTAGAGCTGCCGATAAGAGCACCGGGCTCGCTCTTGAGAAATTGTTTGTCTAAACGAAACCTTGGTTGTGTGGAAAACTTTAGCCCCAAAGCCAACACATCAAGGTTTTTTGTTTTCGTTTATTTTCCCTTGAGATGTTGTTTCAACAAAGGGACTCTAAAATCTTTGTGGCAATATGGAATTAAAAGAAGATGGAAAGTAAGCTATTGGGTGGGGGGTGATGAGTATGATAAACTGTTGAATACAAAATTGATGATCTGAAATGTAAACCCCCACCTAATTCATAATTAAAAAGTTGCTTTTTGTTTCTTTAATAGGATAATGGAATTTTTCCATGAACTTTTGGGCATTTGTCCTTATGAAAGAATATTTAAGGCCATTTTGCAACAATGTGTCTGTTAAACCCCCATCCTTGGGATTTATTACAGAGAAAACGTTCTCTTAGTTATTTATGGCTTTTAGCCATTAGCATAGGAACCCTGATGGCTTAGTGCGGTATGTGTTGGGTTGCTAACCACAAGGTTAGTGGTTTGAACCCACCAGCTGCTCATTAAGAGAAAGGTGAGGCTTTCTGCGCATGTCAGGATTTACAGCCTGAGAAACTCGCACAACCAAAAACTCACTGTCGTCAAGTCGACGGCAACTCGGCGACCGTACAGAACAGGACAGAACTGCCCTCGTGAGTGTCCGAGACTAGCCCTACAGCAATAGGGAGCGTCCTCCAGAAACCCAAAGGGGAAGTTCTACTCTATCCTAGGGGGTCTACTCTGTCACAGGGAGTCAGAATCAACTATATGGTAGTAGGTATTTGCAGGGGGTGGGGGAGAGTAACATAGCCAGAAGACAGGAGCTTGTCAAGGGAACAGATTGTCACACAGGACTCTTCCCTTTCCACTGCCATGGAGTGGATTCTGACTCATAGCACCCTTTCTGGACAAAGTAAAACTGCTCCCTAGGGTTTCCGAGGCTGCAAATCTTTGCGGTAGCAGACAGCGTCACCTTTTCCCAGAAGAAAAACATCTACTAAATGTAACAAGGACCACCACCACCCCGCCCCCCCAAAAAAATTCTACGCAAACTCTGGCTTTCACTTCTCAACTTGCAACAAGCCACTACTGAGTCAATTGAAACTCAGAGGGACTCTGTAGGACAGTCTAACTGCTCCCTAGGGTTTCAGAGCCTATCGATCTTTACTGGAACAAACAACCTCATCTTACCCCTGAGGAGCTGAAGGAGGTTTGAACTGCCAACCTTGTGGTTAGCAGCCCAACACTTAACTCAGTTGTATAAAGATAACAGTTTAATTCAGCAAAACTCAAACCAAACTCCCTGCCATGGAGTTGATTCTGACTCATAGCCACTCCATTTAACAGGGTAGCACTGCCCCTGTGGGTTTCTGTGACTATAACTCTTTATGGGAGTAGAAAGCCTCATCTTTCTAACAAAGAACAGCTAGTGGTTTCAGATGGCTGACCTTGTGGTTAGCAGCCAAGATGAGCAACTACTATGCCACCAATCTGCTCACCCTGTTTTGTTTTTTTTAAAAACAAAATCACTGGACAAACCATCAGAGGCAGAGTGGACAATGGCCAGCCCGTCCCCACTCTCCAGAGCTCAGTGACGCTTGCTCCAGTGAACTCTGAATCCTCCTGGGAGATGGTGGGGGACACGTGAAGGGGAAATTGAGCCCCCAGGCAGAGTGATCTCCCCCAGTCTTGACAAGTAGTCTTGCTGGGAGCTGTTGGAGCATTGAAGCGGGGTGGGTGGTCACTTAGTACAGAGAAGGCTGGAGTCAGGCCGTCCATCCAGTCATGAGTCAGTCAGTTACCAGGCTTCTCACTTGCTTAGTCCCCATTGGTCCATCCAGCCCCATGGTCCATGTGGAGACCAGGATCCACATAGGATGAAGACGCAGGAGCAGGTGTGAGGTATAACTGCACCACCCTTCCCCTGTAGAAATAGCACTGGGGAGCCCACCTCAGGTGAGGGTGTGATCCCCAACTGTCCCCTCATCATGCCCCACTTTCTCAGGGTTCCAAGAGAGCCAGGGCTGCAGACTGAGGGATTACACCCACTAAGATGGCGAGTGTTCGCTCTCCGACCCCCACAGCATCACCATCTGATGGCCAAACAGCTTTTTCCCATCAGTGCACCTGTCCCCTCCTACCCTCACTTGGGTGCCAGGCTGTGCTGTGGGGGAGGGAGGGTGCCACCTTCCTTAGCTCTAAGCTGAACATCTGGCCAAACCCCAAGCCATGCTCACTGCCATTGCGTTCAGTCTGACCCAAAGCAACATTATAGGACAGAGTGGCATGCCCTGTGGGTTTCCATGGCTGCAGCCTTTACGGGAGCTGACAGCCACGCCTTTCTTATGTGGCGCAGCAGGTGGGTCTGACCCATGCATCTCCCAGGTAGCAGCCCAACACTCAACCTGCTGCATCACTAGTGCTCATGGCTTTCTGGAAGAAACAAACAAACCAGACTCACTGCCATGTGGTCAGTTTCCACTCACAGTGACCCACCCAGTAGGCCAGTGTGGGTGTCCGAGACACACTCTATGACTTTCTCCTGCTGAAAAGCTGCCAGTTTCAAACCGCCAACCTTGCCGTTAGTAGCCCACTACTTACCCAACAGCGCCACCAGGGTTCTGCAGAAGGATAGCATAAAATAAGCTCTTGGGAGCAGCAAGTGGGCCCTGGCCCCCACCCAGGCAATGGTCAGTCAGCCTTCCCAGGCTTCTGGTGTTTTCTGTAAGTGGCGTACCCTGTACCTGCTGCTCTCACACCTGCTTCTCTTGCTCATGTTAGTGCTCTGTGTGTGGTTTTTGTACACGAGCCCTTGAGGTCAGTGCGAGTGCCCAACCTGTAAATTGCGCTTCGAAGAGAAGCAGGGCTTGTACAAATGTGTTCATTGAAGCTCCCCGCTTTGCCCATGGCTCCTGGGCCACCTGCCAGACAGCATCGACCGGGAGAAGGAGACTGTCCTGAGGGGTCCCCGACCAGAGGATACCCTGAGCAGACGCCTCCAGAGCAAGGCCAGCCTCTGGTGAGAGACCTAGACCTCCCGCATGCTCAGGCCAGTGTCTGTTGATGATTAGCTGGCTAACCATGAAAAAATCTCCGCGCCCATTAGATTAGCTTTGCCGCTTGTCTAGATAGGAGACATGTAAGGGCCTCCTCACATGACCACCCACGTGCTACCTGAACCTGCTAGCCAGGCCTGGAATGTCAGGTCCCCCTTGTTGAGGAGCTCCACAGAAGGCCAGGCTGGGCTGTTTCCATGGGAAGCCACAATCTCTGCTAGTGTGTCCTTGGCTTGGGAACTGCCTTGGGACACGTGGCCCCCTCTGATTGGTCCCTTCCCAGGTGTCCTCTCAACCAGCCGGGAGGGTAAAGTTCATTAAAAATGAGCTAGGGGTGAGTGGAGGGTCATGCCCCTCCCCTAGGGATTGTCACTGGGTAAACACACCCCTCACAGGGACATGTCCCCAACAGTCAGTCTACCTGCCTCCTTAGGTGGTTTGCTCAAGGCAATAAGGGTGGAGCAAGAAGACCTGAGAGTGGCCTTTCCTTAGGATTGTGGGAGTAAGGGGCATTATGCCACCCTCCCAAACCCAGAAGAGTGTGGGGGAGTCCGGCAGGGTGAAATCCACCAGGAGGCTTCAAGGCGTCAGTGGAGAAAGGGAATGGGAAGATGGTGGCGTTTTTCCAAGAGCTTTTTGAATATGAGGCGTCCTGGTGGCAGCGTGGTTATTCATTGAGCTGCTAACCATAAGGGAGGCAGTTCAAAACCAGCCCCTCCAAGGGCAAATGATGAGGCTTTCTACTGCTGTAAGCAGTTAAGTCTCCGAAGCTCCCAGGGGCAGCTCAGCCCTGTCCTCTAGGGCTGCTAGGCATCGGCAACCATTCAAAGGCACCAATGAGTATTTTGGAAGCCAACCCCTTCCAGGAAACACTTCAGTGCCCTTTGCTGGCCTGAGTTCAGAGAGCCCAAAGCCCTTCCTGATTTTTGCCCCACCCTGCAGATGCTGGAAGGCCCGCCCCTACCACTAGTGGCTGTTGCGCTGGGCACCGGGCTGCTGGCTCTGGTGCTGTACCTGCGCTCCCGGTTCCAAGGCCTGTGTTTGATCCTGTGGAATGAGCTTGTCCTGCAGCCCATCCGAGACCTGCTCATGGGCGACAGCAAGGAGCAACGTATCCTGCGCCACGTGCAGCAGCAGGCACAGCCTGGGGACCCGCAGAGCGTGCTGGCCGCCATCGATGCCTACTGCTCACAGAAGGAGTGGGCCATGAATGTGGGCGACGAGAAAGGTGGGCATTCAAGGTGGGGGGAGAAACCTGGGTGCCAGGGCCGGCACCACAGTCCTGATGGGAGAGGCCTGCTAGCACCCGCATTTCCAGGGAATTGAGGGGTCCTTAGAACCCTGGGTACCCGAGGGTATAAGTGGAGGGGGCAACAGTGTGTGGACCAGGACACAGTGTCCTTTTGCAGGCTGGACACTGCAGGGATTTTGCACCCAGGCCAGAGGTCTCCTGGGCAAGAGACATTGTGCCCTGACTCACACACAACCTGACTCCCAGGAGGGAGAGCCTATTGGCTCACTCTGTGGGAGGAATCTGGCCTGACTCAGCAAGCCTCCGCCCACACACCGCCTGACTCAGGCACCTACTACCTGAGACTTGCCCAGCCCCCAACGTCCAGCTGCAACGTGCTCTAAGGAGGCCAGGCAATGGCTCTAGGGTGTCAACACCCACAGACACTGGGCTGACAGAAGCCTAGGTGGGCAGGGCTGGCACCCTTGGGACAGGGGTGGAGGTGCTGTCCAGAGTGTCCCATGACCCACCTCTGTCCTGGACCCCGGTGGTGTGTCAGACACACAGTCCCTAACTGTCCAGCTCACGAGCACCAGGGAGACCCGAGTGCAGCCCGTGGGTGGAAGTGGGGTGCTTTCCAAAAGGGGGAAGATGTTTGGCAGGGAGCCAAGTGGGTGGGGAGGGAGAAGACTGGCTTATAGAAGAACACAAGGGACCCTGAGAGCAGGCCCTGGGATGGGCCTCAGAATGAGTGAAGGACCCTCTTGCTCCAAGGGAGGCATGGGAAGGAAGGTCTGGGCTGGGGGAGAGGCCCAGGACTGGAGGTCAGTATTCGTCAGAGGGGCTCCCACAGGCCGGCTGGCCATCTAACTCACCCCACATGCCCTCCCAGGCCTGATTGTAGATGAGGTGGTGCGGGAATACCGCCCCACCCTACTGCTCGAGCTGGGCGCCTACTGTGGCTACTCGGCCGTACGCATGGCCCGCCTGCTGCCACCTGGTGGCCGCCTGCTCACCATTGAGGTCAATCCAGCCTATGCGGTCATCACCCAGGAGATCCTCAACTTTGCCGGCCTGCAGGACAAGGTACTATCCCCATGTCTCCATAATAAGGCCGGGGGCCAGGTGGGAAGTCAACCCACCCCTCAGTGCCTCGGGGCTTCCCCAGGCCCTGTGGGGTGATTCCCCAGGCCTGTGAGGGAGGCTGGGGATGGAGCAAACTCCTAGACAGGACTGCTGGGGGCAGGAGGGACAGAGGTGCATGGCCTTCACGACGTCACCATCTTCCAGGTGACGATTCTGGTTGGGGCGTCCCAGGACATCATCCCCCAGCTGAAAAAGAAGTATGACGTGGACACGTTGGACATGGTCTTTCTTGATCACTGGAAGGACCGGTACCTGCCGGACATGCTCCTTTTGGAGGTGAGCTGCATGTGGCCCCTGCCCTATACCTACCACTGAGCATGGGTGTCGCCAAGTGGGTGTTCCACCCGTCCCCAACACCCCTTCCCGGTCTTGGTCCCTCAGCAGAGCAGGCAGGAGCACTGCTGAGCAGGTTGTGAGGCAAGGCCCTCAGCCATGTAAGCGGCTGCCTGGTGTTAAGGAGTATATGTGCGAGAGGTAGCCGAGGGTGAGGGTAGAGGTACAGGTGCGGGAAGTGGGGGGTAGGGTGCCAATGTGTGCTTTGTGAGGTGCTGTGGCAGTGGCCAGAGAGTGTAAGGGGCCCTCAGAAATGCCACAGCTGGGAAGTGGTGAGCGCAGCACACATCATGGTGCTTGGACCAAGGGCCACTGGGCCTGAGAGGCAGTGGGCAGCAGGCCTTCAGGGACACTTGCTCTCCTGGCTTGGCTACTGGTCCAGCCCTACCTGAGAAGGTCCCTGAGCCCCTGTGTTGCAGCTGAGGCAGTGACAGGGCAGAGCCTATCAGTGGGGGCTCTTGATAAACTGGCACATGGCATTTAATATTGATGTTCTCAGAGTGACACCTGACATGGAGTCCTCCAAGGGGGTTCAGGACACTCCTCCACTACCACCTCCCTGCCCTGCAGTATGTCTTCTCCACACAGCTGACCCTTTGCACCATGAGACCACAAGTGCAAGGGAGCCACAGCCTAGAGGCGGAACCAGGACTCCTATGCCAAGGGGGTATAGTGCCATCCGCATGGGAAGCCCAGCACCTGGGCAATACAGCCCCTTTTGTAGCCTGGATATGGCAAGGACAGAACCTGCACCAGTAAGACAGTGGTGGGGAGCATGCCCAGAGTGGGGCAGGGCAAAGCAAGGCCCACCTCCAGCTGTGGGTCCCCATCCACAGCCATCCAGTGAGGCTATTGGGTTTTACAGGAGCGGACAGCCTCGCTTTATCCAGCGGAGAAGCGGGTGGGTTTGACACATCAACCTCGGGGTTAACAGCCAGCACTAAACCCACAGCACCACCGGGGCTCCACCAGCTCCGATGTGGAGGGCACAGGCTGGCGGCCTAGAACTGGAGAGATCCACACAAGGGCTGTGCCGGGGCAGACTGAGGGCTGTGGGGCGCTAGGTACTCAGCAGCTCTGGGCTGTGTGGTAATTAGGGGCTTTTGTTTACAGAAAAGCAGCAAATATTGCAGCTCAGTAACTAGGAAACTAACAGTTTCCTCGGTGCTGCTTGTTCAAAGCGGGTAATTATCTCGAAAGAGGATAAGCAGTGAATTGGAAATGGCTTTCGATGTTCAACGTGTGCTCCCAGCCCTGCAGTACCTTGGCTTCTGTGGGGCAAGGCTGAGACTGGCTCTGTGGGGACCCATAGGGGGAGGGACTGGTGGGTGGGGACAGGGCTGGTTGTTAGGGGCCTGACTCGTAGTAACCAATGCACAACAGAAGGAAACGCTACCTGGTCAGGTGTCATCCACACAGTTGCTATGTTTGAGCCCATGGTTGTAGCTCCTGTATCAGTCCATCTCCTGAAAGGCCTTCCTCTTTTTTGCTGCCCTCCACTTTACCAAGAGTGACGTCCTTCTCCAGGAACTGGTCTCTCCTGATCACATGCCCAGAGTGTGTACTTTGGTGGGCTTGGAGGCAGGTTGCAATTCAGATTGAAGGAGAGCTGTTCAGAGGCAGCCCAGTGTCCTTACCACACAAGTGCCTCCCCACCACTGATGTTTGAGCCCCCATCTGACATAAAAATGACCTGACCTGTTATGCAGTCCATCCAACTCAAGGTGAACCCATGTGTCACATGTCAGGGCCTGAACTGCTCACGTTTAGGATTAGTAGTCAAGCACCAACCGTGTGTACCACCAGGGACATTGACAGCTAACTTTTCCCAGAACAAGAGCGATCAAGAGAGAATCAGAAACAGAGAGGAAGAGGATGCTACAGTGCCTTGTTCTGACTTCATTCCAAACCACAAGGAGCCCTGGTGGTGTAGTGGCTACATGTCAGACTGCTAACTTCAAGGTCAGCCGTTCAGAACCATCAACCCTCTTCATGAAAAAGATAAGGCTTTCTATTCCCATAAAGAGTTAGTTTCAGAAACCCACAGAGGCAGTCCTACCCTGTTCTATAGGGTCACTCACTGTGAGTTAGATTCAATTTGATGGCAGTAAGTTTGGAGTTGATCCAAAACCACAGAGCTGGGTTGTGTGAATGGCTGAGCGCCTGACTACAGTTTTGTACGTGACCCCAGGAAGGGCCAGCTCCTGGGGAAGGGCCTCACGGCTGGGAAAGTAGAGAGGCAGTGACAAAGAGCCAGAAAGACCCTCTGTGACACAGTGACTACAAGCATGGGCTCCAGCCTGCCAGTGGTGGGGAAGGTGGTGCAGGACTGGGCGGTGTTTGGTTTTGTTACACAGGGTCATACAATCGGGAACCAGCTCAATGGCACCAGGCACCAGCACCACCACCAGCCAAAGGGTTGACATTTCCCTTGGTAGACTGGCCCATGGTGGACTGAAAGGCCATCTCTGTAAGCTGGGAGAACCTGATGAGGCACTTCTACTCTGCACATCACGTGTGTTCTACTCTGAACATCACGTGGGGTCTCCAGGAGTTGCAATCCACATAGTGGTAACTAGTAGCAAATCCTCATGTTGCCATCATGTCTGCCTTATTCTGCATGCTAGCCAATGCTCGTGGGAGAGGACTTAGTGCCACTTCGATGGGAGGAGCATCAGAGTCACTGTGGACAGACCCACACTTCTAAAGTCCCCTGGCCATAGTGCTGGCGCGGCCTCCGCATGCTACTTCCTGCGTGTCAGGGGCCGGCTGGCTGGCTCGGTCAGCAGCTTCCGTTTCGGCCGCGATCCTTCTATTGCAGGAGGCCCCTGGTTCCTGGGGAGAGCAGGTTAGATGCCGCCTTTTTCTCTGTTGGGGCTGGTTTCCAAGACAAGTGGGGCTCCCCGACCAGTCCCCTTGGGAGGCTGAGTCCACTTTCTCTGTTGATAGTGTTTAAACTCAACTCACAGTCAGTCTTACTGACCACAGGTTGCCTCCTCGGTGGGGGCCAGCAGTACCTCTTCAAGCAGGCCAAGTCTTGGCAAACTCTAACCCTGGAGAGCAACTTGTCCATTTCCTGCCCCAATCCAGGTGCCACCCACTCCACCAAGGCTGTTTATTCTAGATCTTTCTACCCAGTCCCAAACCAAACCCACAATCGGGAAATTGAATCCAACTCCCCATCAACCCTACAGGGCAGAATAGAACAGCTCCCTAGGGTTTCCACGGCTGTCAGTCTTTTGGGAGAGTCTCATCTTTCTCCTTCAGAGAGGTCGGGGTTTGTAACAGCTGATCTTTCAGTGAGCAGCCCAGTGCTGTACACACTGCACCACGTAAACCCCCTTTTCAGCCCCCAGACTTGGGGAATTGCTTTATAGAGAGGTCATCCATCACCGTTCATTCTGACACTTTCTGTTCAACTCGACCACAGGAGGCTTGGCGGCCTCTGCCCATGGCAGTCTGGGAAGGGGGTGCACTAGCATCAGGCAAGTGAGACAGCTTGTCCTGAGAGCCTGGCCTGAGCTGCCCCTCTGAGGGGCCCGGACACCGATAGGAGCGTGTCTGACACCTGCTGGCCATCCCTCCTGACCTTGGAGTCCTCTCAGGCTCGTGGATAGAGCCTCGGGGCAAGAGCAGACCCAGCACAATCACTTTGGTCAGGCCAGATTGGGTCTCACAGTCACTCCAGCAGCCCCCACCCCTGGGCCCCTCAGAAAAGTCACATGCCCCTGGCAAGGTGCATGAAGGACCCACAGGCCTTGGGGTTGACTCTTGGCCCCACCGGCCCCTCCAGCAAGCATTTACTGAGCCTCAGCGGTGTTCCATGGGATAAAAGTGGAGTTTTGTACACCTGTGAACAGTCTCGGAAACCCACAGGGACAGTTTTACACTGTCCTATAGAGTTGCTATGAGTCAGCATCGACTCGACAGTGAGCGAGTGAGTGCATTCCATACACAGTTCTAGGGGCTGGCAAACGGAAGAGCCAGGACCTGCTCTCAGCACAGCCTTCTCGAGCAGCGAGCAGCGGTAGCTGCTGGCAATGCAAATGTGCAGGTGCCCTGTAACTACAGCAGGAGCCACTGCCCACCCTGGGCCTGTGCTGAGCTGGCTGGGCACGCCTGACCTTGCCCCCTCCACCCATCTCACCCCTGCAGGAGTGTGGCCTGCTGCGGAAAGGGACAGTGCTGCTGGCTGACAATGTCATTCTCCCTGGAGCCCCGGAGTTCCTGGCCCACGTGCGTTCCAGCAGCCGTTTCGAATGCACCCATTACAGCTCACACCTGGAGTACTCCAAGGAGGTGGACGGCCTGGAGAAGGCCATCTACTTGGGCCCAGGCCCTGGTGACAAGGGGAAGAAGCCTTGACTGCCCACCCTACCCCCCAGGCTCCGCCCCACCCCCTAAGCCTGCTTTAGGGCGTGGTCTGGTCTCCACCCACCCCACAGACCTGTGAAATCCCGCCCTACCCCCAACCCCAGCCCCCTCCCCCTGCTGCACCGGTCATCACACACACTGTGGGCACATAGTAGGGGGTCACTGCTACAAGGCCAAGAAGGCATTTGCTTCTAGACTGAGCCAAGGAGTTCTGGGTGGGACCTACTACCCGAAACTGGCATTCTGAGAGGGGCTTCTTCTGCCTGGCTCCGGAGGCAGGCCCTCGGGCTAGGAGAGGTGCCACTGGATGCAGGAAGTAGGGGAGGCCGGGGAACATTGGCCGCTGATGAGTGGACTCAGTCTGTCGTTAAAGTTTACCATCACCAGGTGGCAGCAGATGCCTCAGTGATGGCACTTGGACCAAAAGCTCTTATGTATTGCATGTCTGTTTTGTGTTTCTGTTTTTTAAAGAAAACCTTGATCATTTTACTAAAAACTACCGGTAGCAGTCTTACCCACCAATATCATGTTTCCAAGATGTCAAAATAGAAATTAAAGATACTTAAAAAATTTACACCATGTCAGTCTTGCCTGTTGTCCGGCTCCTTCCTGTCCCTGTTCGCCCCAGCTTTGACATGAAACAGCCTATATTGCCCTTGACTGGACATTGATGCTGTCACCAGCTGCAAGCCAGCTGGGTTCTGGGCATTACACCCAGCCCCAGGGGTTCCCAGACATTAGCAAGGGAGTGGGGGAAGGCCTGGGACACGTGGGGCAGCCTCACAGAGAAGTCATGGGTCTGGGGTGAGCCCAAGCAGGAGGGTTGGCCAGTGTTCAACCTTCTCTGGTCACTCGGGTGAGTGTGGTGGGTATCCCACTCAACATTACACTGGGGCACCCTCTTTTCGGGCCAGTGGGCTAGCCATGTTTACAGAAGAGGACAGAGAGGTTCAGGGGTCTTAGTGTTTCTGCATATTGCCCTGCTGCCACTGGACAAGCTTATTGCCACTGAGTCCATTCCACTCAGTGACCTACTAGAGCTAATAACTGCCCTCTAGGGGTTTTGAGGCTGTCAGTCTACAGATCCGACTGCCTCTTTGTTCTCCTCTAAGGGGCTGGTGGGTTTAAACTGCCAATTCTGTGATTAGCAGCCCAGTGCTTAACTTATGCAAATCCAGTGCTCTCCCAGCCTGTCTTGACCTCTGATCCCAACTCTAGAGAGGTAGTAGTACTCACTGTCCTGCAGGCTCCCAGGGCTCCACCAGCAATGCCAGAGGTCTGTGCTGATCCCAGGGCAGCCTCAGGCCAGGATGGTTTCTTTAAGAGGGGACTGACAGTAAGTCTGAGCTGGGATGGAGGGACTGTAGAGTGGAGGGTAAGGAGTGGAGAAAGCCCAAAGACCCAGTCTGGAAGTGTCCAGGCTGACCAGGCCAGCTGATAGACACATGGCAGCTGTGCCTACCCATTGCCCAACAAGCAAATTGAGGCCTTCGCTCTCAGCACCAACGGGGAACCAGGCAATCTGAGACAGGAGATCTGAGTGGCACAAAGTGGTAAATTCTTTTGTTGCATCTTTTAATTTTCAAAATTTCTTAGAAAAATCTAGATGTTTACCAAGACAGTCTTTTGGTTTTTCTTTGTGATGTTTGTTTGTCGTGTTTTTCTTCTGTTTTAAAGTTACAAACAGCAGGCACTGAACAGTGACCCTCTGCTGCTGCTGCTGCGACAGAGGATCAATCCCAGAGGCGCTGTGGGGTGGCCTGGGCAGCTGCAGCTGCCTGCACAGACCCATGGGGCCAGAGTTGGTTCAGAAAAGGTTGCCACAGGGCTCCTGGGCAGTGATCCCAGAGCAAGGCTCAGGCAATAGTCGGCCTGATTCTACCCATTGTCCCTGCAAAGACTCTGCTGGGTCACCCATATGGGCTGCCTGTCTTGCAAGGTGGCACTGCAGGGGTACCTTGGGACCCCCTCCCATGATCTGTTCCTCACTCTCTTACGCCATGGCTACCTGTGTGCCTGGCTCTGGTCCCTGTTCTCTGGGGCAGGCATCCGAAACCCTGTGCCTACACATGCCCTCCTAATTCTACACCAGGACCCCTCCCTGGTCACCTGGCCATCCACTGAGCCAGGTACCCTCCTGCCCTCCCCTCTCACACAGCACCATGTCAGTAAACATCTAACGTAGGGCCTAAGGAGTTATGGAGAGTGAAGTTCAGGGACACAGCTGGGGTGTCTACAAGGCCTGGCTGGCCCTGGCTGGAGGGAGAGGGGAGGGCCAGAAAAGACGCCAACCCCTGCCGCCAGGGGGCTCCAAACTCCACAGCAGTGTCTGCTCAGCAAGGGAGCGCAGAAGATCCAGTTCTTCCCGTGATAAAAAGTCCTAAGAACAAACAGCTGGGCCCCAGCCCTGAGGAGGAAAGGAAGGGAGGGTGGGTGTTGCAGCCAGGAGCAAGGCTGGTTGTCCTGGAACTAAGTGCGCAGAGGGGACCTGGTGTGATTTTGAGGCTGGGTGGCACGAGGCACGAGGTACTGCTCGGCACAGGCGGATAGAATTGTGGGTAGCTCTCACTGGATAAGCTGACCAGAGCGTCTTGGTGGGGACTCCCATTGTCAGTCAGAGTGGCAACAGATACAGCCACCACCTGCTCACCTACGGCTACAGAGCCATCTTTGAATGGGAGTCATTCCCACTTGCTGGTCCCTGTGAGGCCCCTGTAGCTGGGGCGGGGGGTGGGGAGGGGTGGGGGTGGTGAGAGGGTGTCCCACCCCCACCCTTGCACAGGACCTGGAATGGGGCTGGGAATCCCCCACCCCCACCCACCTCAGGCCTCAGTCTGCCCTTCCCTAAGATGGGTGCGTGGACTTGCTGTGCACGCACAGAGAACAGAGAAGCGCGCAGGCAGCAGAGAACGAGAAGCCCCCAGCCTGACAGTGGACATGTGGACGGACATCAGACGGGAGAACATACCAGGCATGCAAGCTAGACCCAGGAGTCAACGGGCTGAGGCTTAGGCTCCCCCATGGCGTCCACCAGCCTGACTGTGGCCCTGCTGGGCCCGGGAGGAGGGGCCTTCCTGCCAGGGTCGGGCTGCAGCAGACAGGGATGGCGGGAGGGTGTTAAGAGACAAAACAATGCAGAGTGAGGGAGCAGATAGGATGGGGTGGGCTGGTCTTTGGCGGCACCAGGGAGGGGCAGGGGGGGAGTTGAAGGTGGGGACGAGGGTGGGCTCCAGGGGAACACTAGACAGTTAAGGGGAGCAGGCAGGTTCTGCTTGCAAGGACACACATGATGCATGGATTCACTCAGAGCCCTGTATGAAACTGAGGGGTGCCACAGAGCAGGGGACAGGTGGAGCCACCAGGGCCCTGGCCCAAGCACAGACATGCAAAGAAGGCAAAGACTGGCAGGCTGACAGCCACCTTGTCAGGATGACCAGGGGGCCCTCTCTGAGCCCTCCCCCCAAGACTGCACTCCAACTGGAGCATCATCAGAGGCCCTGAGACCACACCCACTCGAGATGGTCTCCCCCACTGGGCCCCCTCCCAGTCCTCACCGCTCCTCTAACCATGGTTGGCTGCTTACTTTCAAGGATTCCTTTTGGAAGACCTCCCCAGCAGTGTCACTTCCCCAAAGCCTCCGACCTGCCCGGTCAATGGTGGAGTAGGCATCTGTAAGGGGGGTGGGGGCTGGGTGAGGGGAACTCAAGAGGGCCAGGCTCCAAAGGGGCAGTCTACACCCCAGGGTGCACCCCCACCCTCTTGGGCACCCCCTGTTTGGTAATGGCCTGGACCTGCTGCCCCTCACTAAAGCTTAAACCCCTCAAGCCTCTTCACAACAGGATGTCAGAGGCCCTAATGGGAGGCAGATCCCTTCATGGGTGCCCTGCCTGGCCCCTCAGCCTCCTCAACCAGAGAGATGGACTCAGGACCTCAGGGCACCCAGCCCTACACTCACCCCACCAGGCAGCCTGCTGCCACCGCCAAGGGTCCAGCAGGCCTGCCCTTGAACTCACCGGGGCCCAGTGGGTCCATAGGGATCACATCTCGGTTTTCTGGCTTCTCGCCATCTGCAAGGCATGCTCAGATGAGGGCCAGCCAAGCCCGAGACACCCAGCAGGCAAACCCACAGGGCCTCTGAGGGGCCCTGAGGCACCGGGGTCTCTGCACCTGTCAACTTGGAGCTAACAGGCGCCATGGGCAGGGAGGACGGAGGAGATAGTAGGCCTGGAAGGGGGTCTTCTCCTTGAAGCCCTGTCTCCGCCCACTATCAGGTCACTTGGCTCCTCCCCTCTGGGCTCCTACTTGCCAGTGCCCACACTCTGCTCACCAATGCTCTTGTCTACCAGAGGCAGCGTGCTGTCGTCAAAGCCTCCCGGGCTGGGTGCACCTTTAGGAACCTTGGTGGCAGCATTAGCTGACTGGGGAGGTAGGACACACGTACGTGAGGTGAGGTCTGGGGGGCTTTTGGGAGCAGGAGGTGTGAGAAAACCTGGCCGCCCTCACCTGAAAGCGGGTCTTGGTCCACCCATCCTTCTGCAAGGCACCACGCAGCTCCTTGTAGCTCCACACCGTCTGCAGCACGTGCGAAGCTGCCTTTGCCTCCCGCACCGACTGGCTGCAACCCGGCATCAGGTGGAGTCAGAACCCGGCCCCGCCCCCGGAGGAACTGGCCTTGCCCCCAGGAGCCAGCCCCCTGCCTCCGCACACACCTGCCCGCACCCAGCCCGACCAGCGCTGGCACGCCGCGGGCCTGCAGCAGCGAGCGCGCGTTGTCGGGACTGTCGGACACGATCTCATGGATGGTGTTGAGCACCGCCACCACCGTGTCCTCCTCCAGGTGGGCCCCGGGCCGCACGGGCGCCTGCGCACTGCGCACGTTCCTCACCAGCTCCGCCATGGCGTAACTCCCTGGGGACGCAGACCGTAGGGAGGTCACACACCTGCCCACTTCTGGCAGGGGGACGCAGTGACCGGCTGAGGGGCAAGGAGGCAATCCCAGGAAGGTCGGGAGGGCCAGCGAGGCCGGCTTCCCGAGCCACCCACCGGCTTCCCCAAGCGGGGTCTCAACCTGAGCCTTACCAATGAGGTCTTTGTTGCGCCGGTCCAGCGAGAGGTTGCGCAGGGCAATGGCGACCGCGCGCACCACCTTGTCGGTCTCTGACTGCAGCAGCTCCACTAGCACCGGCAGCCCGCGCTCCTTGCGCACAGTGGCGCGGATGTACGTGGCCCACTGTGGCCGAGGGCACAGGGGGCTGTTCAGTCCTGCCCACCCACTTCTCCGGCCCTTGCGCCATTCCTCCATGCCACCCTTCTCCTCCCTGGCCAAAGTCTATGCCAGCCCCAGCAGCTCCAGGGCACCTCCACCGCGTCCCCACGATCGAGTGCACTTCTCCCAGACTTGGGCCCTCTCCGGGGGAAGGGGGGTGACGACAAGCTCCCTCTCTTTCCTCCTCCTGTGTCCCTGCCAGCCCCAACCCTCACCGTCCAGCTGCCAGCGCTGAGATTCTGCAAGGCGCCTGCTGCTGCCTCCAGGGTGTTGAAGTTCCGGCTCTCCGTGAGGAGAGAGAGGTAGAGACGGACCACCTCGGGCTGGTACAGCAGCTCAAAGCCTGTGTACAGGGGACCCACCACCCACAGTCACCCCCAACCATCAGTGTGCCTGAGACTGAGAGTGACAGCCAGGGATAAGGGTGGCACAGTCAGGGCACAGGAACCCCTAACATATGCCTGAAAGGCTTCAAAGGGAAAAGCATTCCCATTTCACAGAAGGGCAAACTGAGCTGTCTGGCTTGGAGAGGAAACAAAGAAGGGGCCAGATGAGCCTGTTCCTCTTCCAACTCTACTGCCTAAGAGCTGGGTCTCGGCCAACCTGGCAGCCAGAGTTCCCTAGACCAGGCTGGGACAGGGCCCCTGGATTCTTAAGGACCATGGCTGCCTCAGATGAAGTTGGCACATTTCTCCCATCTTAGGTGGGGGGGGGGGGGGTGTTTCCAAGGCTGCAGGCCCCACATCAAGCTGGCTTCTAGCCACCTCTGTCTTCTACCTTAGCAGCCTGTCCCCATGCTCGTGCACCCTCCAGTATGGCGTCCAGGTGCTTCCTGTTCTTTAAATATTCCCAGAGCACCTGCTGCAGTGTTCTTTGACCCCTTGTCCTGCCCCACACCTCTACTCCCAAGGCTGCCTGCCCCCCTGCTCCTTAGGTTGGCATCTGGACCATCCACTGGCATGGCTGGCAATGGTTAGGGGCTCAAGAGGTGCTGAGTACCACGAGGGTGAACCCTTCTCTCTGGAGTCTGTTCTGCCCGGTATGCCCACAGGCTCTGGACACATGCAGGGGAAATACCCGGCCTCTGTGTGTATCCCAGCTCTTAGGGAGTCCTGTTCCTCTGGGCCTTACCTGCTCTGACCATGCCTTCTTGGCACCCAAGCCCCTTTGCGATGCACCTGCAGACCTCATCTGAGCTGTCTGGCTGCCCTCCACTCATCCTGGGTCACCTTGCCTCCATCCTACCTCTGCTTCTCATGTGCTGTGTGACTTTCTGCCAGTGCCTGGATTGCTAGACTCACGGCACTGGCCCCGATCTTGAACCCTCGTCTGGTGCCTAAGAACTGGATGGCCCTCTCGAGAACCATGGGACGCCCTTTCTCCATCAGGCCTGTGCAGGCCGTTGGCAGCATAAAGCATCCTGCCCTGCCCTGGGCCCATCGGCACTACTCTGCTCACCTTTAGCAGCCTCGGTTCGCTTGGGCAGATCCAGCGTGTCAAAGTTCCGGTCCATCTCACTGTCCTTTTTCCCTGGAACAGAAGGACAGTGGGAGGTGAGGCAGACCCCACAGGGGGAAGAGAATGGACACTGTCGCCTCCAAGCCAGACGCAACGAGCACCTCTGTCTCGAGCAGGGCATAGAGGCTGTGGGAGGGGTAGCTGTGCTGAGAAGCAGCAGCAGTGTACTCCGGAGACAACCTCATTCTTCCCGTAGCACGCAGGGCCCTTCCCTGCCAGGTGGTAGGAGCCATCCTTGAAACTCTCCCGATGGCTCCCAGCAGCTGCCAGGTGGGTGAATGGAGCAGCTGGAGCCCAGGCTGAGCAGCCCATGCAGATGGGTAAACTGGGTCAGTGATGTAGGACTCACCCAGAAACCCTATTAATGGTCAACTTTTCTGAGCCTAGGGGACCCCACCCCTAGGCTGAGGGCCTGCAGCAGCCCCTGACTAAACCTTCCCCTTCTCAGGCTGCCTCACCCTGTCCTCTGTGCTGCCCCTGTCCTTGAGCCCCACCCCACTGGAGGGGCCCAGGCTAGGTTGAGGCTGTCGGCAAGCAGCCCCTCCACCTCCCAAGCAGCCCAAACCCACATTCCTGCAGCTGTCAAGTCCACACAGTTGTCATGGAGACAGCAATAGAAGTGGGGAGCAGTGCAGGCCTTGAGGCTGGGGCCACCTCCAAGTGCCCACTGCACCCGCCACCCTGTGGTTGTCATGGAGATGGCTCTGGACTAGTGGGGCTGGGCTGCTTCCCAGTGCCCATGCCAAGACTTGGACAGCAGGACACACAGGGACTCACCTTGGTGGAACCACTCTTCTGGGCAGCCGGAGGAAGCACAGGAGAGAGGAGACGAGGCTGAGCGGGAGGCGCCCCCACCAGCCCCGCCCTGAGTCTCAAGTGCTCACTGCCTGGGTCAGGCAGGCGGAACTCGGGCCCTCACCTCAATTACTTCCATGATAGGAGAGGAGGGGTGTGTGGTCAAAACAGGCCCACAGTGATAGGGTGCAGACGGGGTGGGGGGTGGCGGGGGTAGGGGCAGGTGTACGCAGGTCCCCTACAACAGCTGGGGACAATAGATCCCTGGAATTTGTACCACAAGTTTGTCAGGTCTAGCTCCAGGTGGACAGCCCTGCAGGGAGTTTTCTGGGCTTAGGGGTTAGGGTGGGGTGGAGTGGGGGGTGAGGAAGCAGCATTATCTGCAGCCCCCCAGCAAGGCAGCCTGGTGCCTCCCCCCACCCTTCTCTGAGAGCCTCACACTGCTGGTGTGAAGCTCTGCACCCTGACCCTGTCATCTGTGTGACCCAGCCTAGCTGCCATCCTCAGCTCTCTGCCTCCCCACCCACCCACCAGGCTGCCAAAGGATGCCCCAGACTCTGGGCCTGAGAGGGGTCTGGAGTAGTCAGCCAATCCCTCCCACCTACCTTTGGCCTTCTTGCCGCCAAAGCAGCTCGCATCCTCGTGTCTCCTGCGCTGGGAGCCTGCTGCACTGGCCAGGGGCCCAGGCTCCGCCTCCTGGTACCTGTCTGCACCAGGCACCTCCTTGTGCACATGGTAGGACAAGTTCCGCACGATGCACACACAGTTCTCCACGGACTATGGGGAGAGAAGCAGCTGGCCACGTGTCCCAGTGAGAGGACTGGAAGCAGACCCGACCCCCCCCCCACCCCCCCCCCCCAATCCCAGAGGGCTCCTAGGAGCAGCACCTCCTGCCAGGAGTGCTGTCAGGGAGGGATGTGAGAGGAAGGTAGGGACCCCGGGCTCTGCCATTCATCTGCACCCCCAGGCCTCAAGCTCCTTGTGGGAAGCTAGGGAACCCACACAACGTGTTTGAGGAGGGAGGGCCTTGCCACATCTAAGGAACCCTGGTGGAGTAGTGGTTACATGGTGGGCTGAGTGAGAAACCACTAGCCACTCCATAGGAGAAAGATGAGGGAGGCTCTCTATCCCCACTAAGAGTTAAGTTTTGGAAACTCACAGAGGCAGTTCTACCCTGTCCTATAGGGTCTCTGTGAGTCATAACGGACTCTCCAACAGTGAGTTTGCTTTTGTTGTTGTTTGCGGGAACTACTCTGTGGGAGATCATGAGGCATCCTGCTTCATGAAGACTGACAGCCTGAGAAACCTCACAGGGCAGTTCTAACTTTGTCCCATAGGTTCACCAAGTCAAAATCGACTTAATAGCTGAAGGTTTGGGGGAGTGGTTAGAACCCACCAGCTCCTCCAAAAAGACACACAGCCTCAGAAATGCTGTCATCTCTGAACTGAAACTGACTACACAGCAACGGGTCTGGGCTGCCATGCCTGGGACCTCCCTGGGGGTCCCCTTGGATGTCCCCAGCCCCATCCACCTTGTTGTCTGTGTCCTTCCTGCCCACAGCCGACTGCAGTGCGTGCAACAGCGCATCCACCAGCCCCTCACATTCCCGCAGGCGCCGCCGGGCCTCTGCGCCGTCTGAGCTCACATTCCTGGGAGCCAAGAGCAAACTTGGTGAACTCCACTTCCTGCTCCCCCGCCACAGGGTCTTGCCATCTGCCAAATGGCCCAACGTTGCCCCACTGGGATTAGTGAGGGGCCACACCACAGCCTGGCACGCAGGGACAAGGACAGGGTAGCCTGAGCCCTTGGGGAATCCCATGGAGATACCCCTAACTTCCCGGTGGAAAAGGGCAGCGGTGGAGGCCACAAAGTCCTGGCTCCATGCTTGGGCGATGCTGGGCTCCCCAGGAACAGGCAGACCTTGCAGGGTCCCGGCAGGGCCTCCAAGGGACAGGGCAGGGCTGGGGTCACGGGAAGTGGGATGAAGCTTCCAGGGCAGGCAGGCGCTGAGGGTCTGGGTTCCCCCACTGCAGGTTATCATGGTGACAGCACACAGGGGTGACGCTGGGCAGGGCAGGAGAAAGCAGGAGACCGCCAGCCTTGCCCAGAGCATGTCTTAGTCTCAGGACACAGGGAGAGGCTTGGGGCCCACACCAGGCTCCTGCCTCCTCCCCATGCCCCATCTTCCTGCGGACCACCCCAGCCCGCCCACACCTCAAGCAGCCAGATGTGTTCTTGAAGACCGTGGTCCACTCAGCATCTCTTGGTTTCGAGTCCTCATTGGGCTCTCGCTCCCAGCCCGAGTGAGGGACAATGACCTCGTGAGTCAGAGTCTGCAGGCCATGGTCGATGATGACCATCTTGAGGGGCTCGTAGGATGACAGGTTCCATAGAGTGCCTGTGGGGGTGTGGTGGGGGGTGTCCACTGGTGCTAACCTTGGTCCCACCTCTGAACCTGCCCTGCCCCCACAGTCTTGCCCCAGCTCTGGCACAAGGAGGGATGAGGATGCAGCAGAGGATTACACGGCCTCCTATTTCCCAGGGTGCCAGAGATGGCCAGTCATGGCCAAGAGGTCCCATGGACACAATTCCAACTCATGCACGACCAGGAAGATGAGAGGGAGGGAGGCTGGTCTCCAGGCCTTGTGCCAGTGGACGCAAGGCAGATGAGGTTCCTGCCTGAGGGGCCAAAGCCCAGGCCAGCTCACAGGTTCCTCAGACGGTGCCTGCCCCCCAGGCTCACAGGAGTGGGTTTCGTGTGGCCCCACCCCTCACCAGCCAAACCTGGGTCTCCTCTCAGGCTCAGTCTGCTCACCTGTGACCAGCTCTCGGACCTCACTGTCCCGGGCAGACCGCAGCAGGCGCACCAGGGCGGGCACACCACCACAGTCCCGGATAGCGGCCTTATTGTCTGTGTCCCGGCCATAGGAGAGGTTGCGAAGCGCCCCACAGGCCCGGCGCCGCACCTCTGCCCTCGGGTGATCCAGCAGCGCCACCAGCAGTGGCAGCCCCCGCAGCTGCCTCACGCGCCGCTTCACGCCCTCATTCTCAAAGCACAGGTGCTGCAGGTAGGCCGCTGCATTGGCCTTCACAGGGTCCACGGGATGCCGCAGCATGGCCAGCACCTCAGGGAGCTCAGGGTCCCGCCAACGAGGCTCCTTGCGAGCGCTGTCGACGGAGGGTGAACGTCGAACCGCCCGGTCCAGGCTGCCCAGGCTGCCCCGTTCGGGCTGCGCGAGGGGCGCCGTCACTGGTGGGAATGGAGGCCGTGCGTCCAGCAGCTCGCCACCATCCTCTGCAGCATCCTCGTAGGGCCTGCTTGGGTGAGCGGGGTGTGAGCGTCTTCCTGACGGCCCCAGCCCTGTCTGAGCTTCCCCTGCAGATGCCCCAGAGTTTGTGGGCTCGGGGAGGGGTGGGCGCAGAGTCAAGAGTATTTGCACTTTGGCCCCAGACACAGCCAGCACCCAGACTAGTGAGACCCAATGGACAAACTAGACCCGTGGACCAGGCGAACCTCAGTCTCCGTGCCCCTAAGACCTGAAGAAACTAGCTAGTGGCTAGCTACCACTTTCAACCCCTCTGAAAGGGCGCGCTCGAATTAGAAGGTCCGGATGGAGCAGGAGAAAAAGGCAGAAGCAAACTCAAAATCATGAGTCCAGGCCAACTGGCTGGAGAGAGCTGGGGGAATGTAAGACCTTCAAGAACCCCAGGGGGTACGCACACCTTAGAATAATTAACCATTTGTAATCTAGAAGGCAACATTTGCCCTAGGGCCAAACTCACAGGGTTAGAGAAAACCACAGGACAGAAACAAGAAGCCCAGGGAGCAGGCAGGCGTTTGCACAGAGCACCTCAATGGACGAGAGGCAGTAAAATGTGGGGGAATTGTTGCATGGAACCCTGACGAGCTGCTCGATAAGCCTTCACCCACTTCACAACAAAACATGAAAGCAAAACACAAACAAAACCCATTTTACTGGTCTGGTAGAAACTGGTGAACCTCGAGACTCTGACCCTTTAGTGATCGCTTCAAGCCTGGAACTGAACTCACACTTCAACCCAGCAAGAGACAGGCCTATGAGGGGAACAGTGACATTAAAGGTGTACACACTTCCTAAAATAAAAAATCAAAGAGAAGACCCACTGGCCGAGCCAATGATGAGGCAGAGCCCAGCCTCTGCTCACCAGGACAGGCCCCATACTCCTTCTAGAAGGAGGGGTTCACTCCCTCCTCTGTCCAAGCTGTTCCCTGACCCTGAGCAATGTCTATGACTGTCTAAGGTAAGGTGACCAGATTTAAAGCAGGACACCATTGACAGGGCAGGTGGGGGGTGTTCTTGATTAAAAATTTGACCTATATGGACCAAACAGACCGTTCCCTAGCTTGTGCATTCTTTCCAAAAATCAGGACTTTTTTAAAACGCCAAAAAGCAGGACTGTCCTGCCAAAAGCAGGACGTCTGGTCACCTCAGTCTAAGGGCCCTGTCTTCCCATGAGCATCAAGATGTGTGCGTGTGTATTTGTGTGGGTGGGGTGGGCAGTGAGCTCTCCCTGGAAAGGCCTTCCCAGTGGCCTCTGGGTGACGGACAGCATGGCCAAGAGTGTTTTCTGTTCGTGGAGTGATTGCCTGCCTGAGGTGGAGAAAGACTTGCTATCTTAAGACAAGTCCTGCTGTCTTGCTGGAGAAAACCCCATTTGAGAAACAGACAGTGTTACGGTGCATGCAGACAAGACGTTCATTAGGGTCCCCTCACTGATGGCCACCATGGTGCATGTTAGTCCCCTTAGGTCATTTGTAGGCGAGCGTCAGACGAGGTACTACTGGTTGACACACTGAGCGTCCAGGGGACATCCTGGAGGCATTTAGGCCACCTGCTCCACGAGGAATGAGATGACTCTCAGCAGACTGGTGGGTCATCCCTGTCAAACCCACTTTCCAGAGGAGAGACTAGAAGTCAGGCAGGGTCCGGCGACTTGTTCTGAGCCACTCACCAACACCCACACCCAGTGATGGCCATGTCCCCACTCTAGGGACCCTGTAGAACAGGGTAGAACTGCCCCTGGGAAGTGGGGCGGGGGGAGAGGCATGTTCCAAGACTGTAAATTCTAATGGGAGTAGGAAGCCTTGCTTTCTCCCAACAGATGAGGGCAGAGAGGACAATACTAAAAGCCAAGCCAAGAAGACCCTGGGTTCTGGGTAGATGAGGCACAAAGGGAACTGAGGTTCAGGGAGAATATGGGGGCCTCCTGTTCAGAGTGATGTGCTGAACCTGTAGGGCTCAGGTCTTTGAGGCTGTCTGCCTAGAGAAGAGGTAGCAGGTGCCAGGCACTGTCATTAACTTCTCTCCTGCCCTAGGCCCAAAGGACCCACTGAAAAGCCTGAAGGGAAATTCTTATTTAAGTGTGCATGACGGATTCAACTCTGGCTGCTTGGCTGCCTTTAAACCTGGCCATGGGGCGTTCTGTGGCGAGGGGACATAAGGAAGACATCCCAGGGGTGGCAGCATGAGATACAGTGCCCACCTGGTGCGAGGACCTCTCCCACAGTCAGGCCTCTGCCGAGTGGCCGTGCCATAGTCGGACTCCAGCTCAGGACCTCCCTCGTCCTCTGCGGCCAGGCTGCGAGTATCATCCTCCAACCCATATGGCTCTGCCTGGAAGCGCTCAGGCAGGGAACGGCCGCCAGGCAGTGCAGGCTCAGGGCCTGCTGGGTAAGCTTCCCGACGGCCAGGCAGAGTAAAACTGCCATCGCAGGGGCCCGGGCCCAGGGGGCCTGCTCGAGGTTGCCGCCCCCCCAGCCCTCGGGACAGGCTGCCATAGCTGGGTCCATCCCGGAGCTCAGGCCCGTCCGGGAAGCCACCCCCACCACCGAGGTAGGCCCGAGAGAGTGTGGCTGCTGGGCCACCACCTCGCAGCAGGAAGTGCTGGTCCAGGGGGCCATCAGCAAAGGGGCCCAGCAGGGGACCACCTTCCAGCAGCGGGAGGCCATCTGGGCCCAGTGGCACCTGGCGGACTGTCCGAGTCGTCACCGTCTTGACCGTTTTGGTAACCTGGAAGACAGGTGGACAGTCTGAGGGCTGAATGACGCCTGCCTGGCTTGTTGGCGGAGCATTCTCGGTGGCCAGTGGGGCATGCCTGTTTGGAGAGGGGACTACTGTTGCCTACACAGCCCACCTGCCCGGACAAGGCTGTACCTTGGTCTCTGTCCGTCGTGTTGTGCCATCTGTAGATGTGACAATGGACACGTGGGAGGTGGGTGTGCCAGGGTCTTCCTCCACGGTCACTGTCTCCTCCAGTACCTCCGGCGCCTCTGGCATGGTGGCCAGCGAAGTCTGGCTACCTGGGCTCTGCTCCTGAGGGGAGGTGGGTAGGCGTCAGCAGGACACCAACTTGGTTTATGCTGGCCTCTCTGCCTCCCCGCCCCCCACTCCATCCAGCCTGAGCAGGTGAGACCAGGCTCACTAAGTCCTCTGACCCTGGCCTGTCCCCCCAAAGAGAGCTGGCAGGTCAGGTCACAGACCCCAGGGTTGGGCAGTCTGAGGCAGCTCTCTCCCAAGAAGTCCATGCTCGGGGCATGGCTGGACCCTCCTGCACCAGCCCAGGGCATGTGACACCTGGGCCTCTCCCCTGCCCTACCCCAGGGACCAAGCACCAAAAGGACGTGCAGTGGTGCTTCCAGCATGTCCTGATGGCCACACCCAGACTCCCACTCCCATGCCAGCCAGATGCCTCACAGGACAGAAATACCCAACTCCCAGAATGCCCTGAACACCCAGAGGCCCAAAATACTCTTGCTCCTTCCCGGCCCAGACACTCGGGGTGCCGAGTGGGCAGAGTCCAACTCGGTGTCAGGTCAGTGCTACCACTGGGATACGGCAGATTAGAGCCCAGAGAGGATGGGCTGCTCAAGGGGGATCAGCTGGCCCTGGGTGGACACTCCACGGCCCCTTCCTGTATACTCCCACCCCCAGGACTCCCCAGCTTCTGCCCCCAGTTCAGACCACCGGTTTCATTCTCAGTCAGCAGCCACCCTTGCCACTGTCTAGGAAAGGCATCACGGCAGTAGAATTCCTGGTAAGGCAATTTGGGGGCTCCCGTGCCCACTGGCCAGACTTGTCAGTGGGGACACCAAGGCTCAAAACTTGGCTGGACCTCAGTTGTGCTGAGTGGTGTGGGGACCACAAACTCGGTGTACCCTGAGCCTCTGACTTCCCCTACCCTAGTGCCGGCAGCAGGCCAGGCAGGAACCCAAGCCATGGTAGGCAGCAGGTGGGTGGTGGGCAGCTGAGGAGGGGGTTGGCAGGAGAGCAAGACCTGTTCCTGAAGCCCTGCCTGCCCCTCAACCCAGGGTCTGCTCAATCCAGCCAAGGCCACACTCACACCCACACCCATTTCTGTCTAGCTCTAGAGCTTGCACTCAGAGCCTGTACCTGGGCCCAGAGAGGTTCAAGGCCAGGTGCACATGGGGCTCCCCTCAGGGGTAGTGTCCAGCAGAGAGGTCAGCAGAGATGGACACAGCTGGGCCAGTTTACGGGTCTTCGAATGTGAAGCCTCCCCAGATCAAGCCCCACCCTAGAGGGATGCTTGCCCCTCATTGCATGCGGCACTCTGGCTCAGGGCCTGCCACTCTGCAGGTGCACAACACACACGGGCATGGCTGCAGCAGGCAGGTCCTAACCCGCCTCCAAGAACAGGCCCTTAGAGGACAAGGCACGACTTTACAGAGGGGGAAACTGAGGCATGGTGAAAATTACACAGTCACAAATTGCTCATGGAGAGTGGGGGAGGGGGCATTAGGCATCCACAGGGAAGGAGTGAGCGCAATGAGGTCTTTAAACAACACTTGTCCCCCCTGGCCCTCAAGCCTGGCTGCCACCAACCTGGTGCTGGAATGGGGATGTGGGTGGGGTGTTGGGGGGCCTACCCAGGAAAAGGGGGCACTGCTCTGAGGCTCAGTGGCATGCTGATGGGCTGCCAAGCACGGTGGTCAGGCCCTCCTCTGACCTCTGAGAGCACTAGGGTGCCGGGATGACTCTGGACCAGGGGCAGCCAGCCCTCTACTACTGTAGCCTCGGCTGCCCATTCTATACTTGGCGAGAGTGGCAGGCAACCCATTCTCTGTACTGTGCCTGGAGGGTCAAGTCAGAGCTCAGGTCTCAGGGACAGCACCCTCAGGCCTTATGTTGGCAGGAGAAGGGGTAACACTGACATCAGAGGATGGTGGCCAGGACGCTCTGCCAATGGGCTTGGGCCCTATGGGCATTTGCATACATCAAGCCCTCTCAGAATCAGTCACCAGACCACAGGTCATGGGGTATGTAGTGGGGACAAAGCTCAGGTCCCCAGGGTCGACCTGTGGTCCAGACAATTCCTCACAATGCAGCCTGCAGAGTTGGGGGCCGAAGAGACAGGGGTTGAGAAGAACCGGGGCCTCCTCAGCCAACAACACTCAAACATAAGCAGCCCTGCAGCGGACTCCCATGGCCCTGAGAACCCCACTGGCAAATGTCCTCAGCTAGCTAAATATGGTGGATGACTTCACCCAGGGGGGTGGGGTCGGGCATCAGGCAGCTGAGCTCAGGGAAGGCGTGGCACCCAGACACCCCCTCCCTTCCCCTGGGCAGGGCTGTATGCATGCACATGTGTGTGTAGGCACTCTACCTGGTACACACGCATGCATGTAGCTGGCCGTCAGACAGGGATATATGAATACATGGGTACATGAGCACTCTGTCTAGTGCATGCACGTGCCCCCCTACACACACAGAGGGCACACAGACATGCACCTGGCCCATCAGGCAAGAATGTATGTATACATACATGTGTATGAGCACCTCACCTGACAAGCGCACACACACAAACACACATGCACCTGGCCTCTGAAGCTAAGATGTATGCATGTATGAATATCCTGCCTGGTGCATGCATGTGGGAAACAGAGAATGGGAAGAGAGTAAAGATGGATGAATCCTTTACTCTCATATATTAAGAAGCCTGCGTTTCTGGGGTGGAGGGAGGCCCTCACCTTTGTGAGCTGGAGACAGACCCAATCACATTCTCATAATTAATATTAATCCCCACTATAGCCTCCCATAATTGTGCTGCCTTAAAGTTACCTCTTACAAGCACATGGCTGATTGCTATGTAGCCGGCAACTCTAACTATAGGAGCAGACAAGTGCTATTGCTCTCTAGCCTGTGAAGACAGCCACTCCCCCACCTTCCCCAGAAACTGGTGTTAGTTTACTCCTCCAATATACTCAGGGACCTTTAGGGTTAGGGTACAACCCACTTTGTGATATATGTGATTACCTATGATTGGGGGGGCTTGCATGGTCCAAAGTATATAAGCTTCTGTTGGCGATATATTTTTCTGCTCAGACCTGGCTCCTGAAGTCATGACTGAGAAGGTGAGCCCTTGCATGCCTTATCTTATCTGATGTCTCTTTAATTTACCCCTCAATGACACAACTGCCCCTTGGACCCATTCAGTTATGGGGGCTGGTACAACACATGTGCATGCACACATACATGTACTGGCCCCTCAAGCAAGTACCGCACCTGGTGCATGGGCACACACACATATGTGTGCACATGAATGTATCTGGTCCCCCAGGGAAGGATATACATACACAAGCATGTACATGAACACCCAGCCTTGTGCACACAGACATGTACCTAGACCCTCAGGCAGACATCTACCCAGACAAAGGCATATGCATGAGAGCCCTGTCTGCTGAGAGCATGTATATGCATATGTACATGTACCTGGTCCCTCGGGTAAACAATGTGTACACCTGTGCATGGGTACCTGCCTGGCCTGCATGCCTAAGCCTGTCAATCTGGCTGTTCTCCTAAGACAACTCCAAGCATACCCATGTCCGTCATTTCTAGTACATGTCCATGCACACACATAGCTTCCCCACACATGGGCAGACCTCACTCTACTGCAAGGCCACACGTGTTCTCAGCATGCAGTGCCAGAGTCCGCCAGTGCCCTAGGTCACCCACCCAAGCAACATAGGGGGAAACTGAGGTCACCCCATCATGGAGATGCAGGATGATGAGCAGCACACAGTGGGTTATCAATGAGGTGGCCAATTCCTGTCCATTCCAGTGTCCTGTTTCAGGCCACCACATCAATGTCCATCTGGCCAGGCTCACCCTCAGGACCTCCACGATCCTGCAGTCCTACACAACAGCCTCTGTCCCAGACCAGACTCTGGGCCATCCCACCTGCACCTCAGACACAGGTACTGTCCTAAACACATCAATCACCCCACCAATTTCCCATATCACAAGATGCACCAATTCCTGTCCTGTAGCAGTAGCGACTTGTGGCCTCTCACCACTCCTGTCCAGAGTCTGGGTTCCTCCTCATCCTTCTTGCTGGGACCAGAGTGCCAGCCTCCTGTCACAGCCAGCCTGTGGTTATCATATTCTGGCCTACCTAATCCCTGGGGCTGCACGTCCCCTAGGAAGTCTCTTTGGCCCCTGGACTACGGCTGGACCAAAGATGTCACCGAACACCCCATCCTTAAGGGGCCCCCATAAACCTAGAGTCAAGCACAGATTATGCTTGCAACAGCCTCTCCTGGGACCCAGCTTCCTCATGTGAAACAGGACCAGCACAGAGCCGAGAAGGCAGGCATGGGGTGAGGCGTAGAGCAAAAGTCCATGACTGGGGTAGGGGGGGAGCGCAGGGGTGTGTGAGTGTGCCCCTACTGGTGCTGCGACACTGTGGAGGGGAGGGGCCAAAGGAAACAAGCCAAGTCCTAACCAGAGCATAAGCCAGGTCTGGGGTCCCAGGGTACTGATGCACCCACACAGCTTGGATTTTAGCACTTAGCAGGGGCCCAAAGGAACCCTGGTGGCATGGTGGCTTAGGCACTGGACTGCTAATCACAAGATTCATGGTTCAAACCCACAAGCCACTCCTAGAACAAAAGATGAGGCTGTCTGCTCCTGTATAGAGTGGATCTCAGATTTACATAAGCTAGACATAAGTTGGAATCGACTCCACAGCTGTGTTTTTGGGTTTTGGTTGGTGGATCCCTAACTGAGAGAGGATAAAGTAGGGCATCCCACAGCTGGCTCTGATTAAGCTCCTCCCACCCTATCCCCGACTCCTAGAGAGCCCTGATGGCTGTCACTGGATGACAGAATGGCCCTGAAAACCACAAAATACTCCCTCATTTCATGCCCACAGCTGCCCGTCCGCCCTCGTTGGAGCAGACCCTTAGCTGTGCACAGTAGCAGATGCACCTGGCCCCTGCAGACCGGCCACATGCAGTGAGCAGCTAGCAGGCTAAGGAGCAAGGTGGAGGGCACAAGAGGGCGGAGCTGAGGTCTCACCCTTTTCCAGCTTGCTAAAGCCAGGCCCACTGGTGGGTCATTCCTTAACTTAAACTCTCTTGAGCACTCCAGCGTTTCTCCCCACTTCAGACTAGTACGAAATCAAACTGGCTCAGTAGGTGTGTGGCCACAAGAGGCCTTGGGCAAGTTTTTTCTCTCATTGGGCATGTTTCTTGCCTGAGTGTGAGGTCCCCTGACTCCCTGTGCCCCAAGGCAGCTGTTCACACGACCCACCACCGGCCTGTGTGGTTTCCTCTCCTGTCCCCACACGTGGGCAGGGGACAGCCTCCCTTCTTCAACACCTGTGCACCCTCTTGGCAGGCAGGGCATCCTTGAATGCAGCTCCCGGTTGTCGGAGCCTGTGCAGGGGCAAGCGAGGAGGCCGAGGGAGCCCCATGGAACCGGAGACTGACCAGGCTGCTCTCTCCTGCCTCGGCCTCCCTCCTGCACCGGGAGGGGCCGCCAGCACCTGTCTTCGTGCCCACGGGGAACGTACCCTCCGGGTGCCCAGCCTGCCAGAGGCCCCCAGAGCCCGACCCGCGGGAGATTCAGTGGTCTTGCCCCGCGCCCCGCACACCCCCACGGCGGCCAGCCGGCCGGCCTCCGCCGACCCGGCCCCGGAGCAGACAATAGCTGCCTCTGCAGCGGCTCCGCACAACAAAAGCGGGTCCTCCCGGCCAGGCCGACGCCGCCCTCGGCTGCCCGGCCTCCGGCAAGGCACGGCGCACCGGACCCCACCCCCTCCGCCCTCCGCCCCGGACCAAGTTCCAGTCCAGCCAACCTGTCTGAGTTCGGCCGGCATTGGGCCGGGGCTCGGCGGGGCGGCGACGGGCGGCGGACCGGGCTCGGCACGGGCGCCTGGGCCGCTCGGGCTCTGCGAACTCGCTCCCCGCGGGGGCGGATCCGGCGGCGGTAGCGGCAAGCAGCCAATGGAGCAGGGCCGCGCCCAGGCGGGGCGGCGCGCGGTCCGCCCCCTCACCGGACACGGGGCGGGGCTCCGCAGCCGGGGCGGGGCCGGAGTCGCCCCCTCTGCCCTGCGGCCTGTCTGGACGCCCTGGCCTCCTTACCAAGGGATGATAGCGTGTTGCCAAGTGACAAGCCAAGTTCTTATTCCCGGGGCTCTGCTAGCCGCCAGTAAGATGGGCACCCACAACCCTTTCCCACCCATCCATTGAAGGGGACCGTCTCTGGCTCCCTGGCCACAAGCGTCTTCTGATGTGAGATGATGGCCAATAAGCTGCCGCAAGTATGTAGGAATCCTTCTTGAATGTCCTCTCAGGTCTCCCCAGACTTTAAACTCAAACCCCGACCGGACTGCCCCTCCCACTCCCACCCGCCTACCCCGCTGCACGCAGTCAATGGGAACCTCCCCTCACAAAGGTCGTTGGTGATCAGGCGATCTATTCGGTGTCTGGGGCTCCCCCCATTAAGACCCAGAAGCCCAGGGACCCTCAGGGAGAGAGTATAGCTCAAATGGAGTGGGCGGGGAACTGTTGGGTGACTCTGGCCAGCCATGTCAATGCTCTGGTCTTGGGTCCCAAGCTCATGGAGGCGTAGCAGGCTTCACCCACATTTGTGATTGGCTGGGAAGTGGAGTGGTGTATTGCGGCACAGTCGGGTTCCTCTGGCCAGGTGCTGCTGCTCCCTGGGGAACCTGGCCCTGCTGTGACAAGGGCCACTGTCTCATGTCGGGCGGCAGATAGGGCAAGTGGAAAAGGAAAGGGGTCTGAGATAGGCAGGGCTGGACCAGCCTGGAGAAGAGGGTGGTGGCAGGCCCGAATCTCATAGCCACTGAAGCCTCGGGTCACCGTGCCTCCACGAAATACCACATATACAGCCCAGGGGGCTCACATCCACTGCCTTATGAACCACTGGAAGCTGTGAGGGGGACGGGGCCACTGCCCCAATATCAGGATGTCCCTGAGATTCATGACTGTGCCATTTCTGGCTTCTCCCAAATCTTACCAGCTGCTGGGGTCCTGGCCACACCCCCTCCATGACTGAGGTGGGCGCCACACCCCAGCAGGACAGGCCCCTAACAGCATCCCTCTGCTTCACCCAGGCTGGTCTTTCCACAGGGAGGTGGCCATGACCGTGAGGAGTGCAGCAGCAATAAACTCTGGCTCCCAGCTCCTCAGCCTCAGCCCCAGCTACTCCCTGCAGCCACTCAAGTCTCTGGCCCTGGCTACCCCGCCTTGGCTCTGGCCCCAACACCAGGCCCCGGACCCTGGGCCCCAGCCCTTGGTGACCCAGTGGCTCAGCAGGCATAACCTGCTGAGATAGATCTTGGAGTCAAGGCTGAGAGGCCTAACTGGCCCTGGTGCTCCCTAGCCAAGAAGTCCCCACACACAGTCTGGAGCACATGCTTGTTCCTCACCCAGCCTGAACAAATGGACTCCTTCCCAGAGACAGAGACCCCAGTGGCCAGAGAGCCCAGAGCCCAGAGGCCGTGTGGTCTACAGCCCTCCCAAGGTCTGGACTGCTCCAGTAGTGGGAATAGCTCCCCGGCCAGGACACTGACCCCTGTGATGTCGGCTACAGGCTAGAAGTTGGAGTGGGGGCTGGAGAGCCTGGGGCCTGAAGGGTAGTGTTGAAGTCACTGGCTGCCACTGTACCCAAGAGACCCAGCTGGGCTGTCCTGTCCCGTGTGAAATGCCTTGAGATCTGGGGGACAGCAGTGTTGGCCCTTGTCCCTAAGTCTACTCTAGCCTGAATGCTAGCCACCAGTGGGGTAAAGCCCCTTGAGACCTCAGGGCATGATGTGATTGGGGAAAGACTCCTCTCCAAGAGATCTGGGTAGTCAGTGGGACCTGGAGTCCCCTGAAAATGAGCAATGTTTAGGCTCTAACCATGTCCCTGTGCTGGACTCACACTTATAGGGACTAGGACCGAATGAGCCCATCTAAGGACCATCACTCACTCCACCAAACAAGGTCACTGAGGGAAGATCAGGGAGGGTCACTTACCCCATATCCCCCAGTCTGATGCCAGCTACTAATTCTAAGGCTCACGCCAAGCCCTTGCTCTCCAGCCACAAGGGACACAGGCTGCCCAAACCAGCAGATGTGGCATGGCCGGCCAGCAGCCTACTTTCCTGCAGTCAGGGCCTGACAGGATCAGAGAAGGTGGTAGGGTGCATAGGCAAGGAGTCCAGACTACCCCTGCCCCAGGCCTTGGTCTTCTGATCCACTAATAATAAAATTCAAACGCACAGCAACCCTACGGGACAGAGTAGAACTGTACCCAAGGGATGCTCTGCTGTAAATCTTTAAGGGAGCAGGCAGCCTCATCTCTCCCCCTCGGGTTTCCATGGTTCGGAAGCCACCACATGACCTCGGGCCAGCAGGTTAATTTAACTTCGGAGCCCAAAGTTGGCAGCTCAGGGCCATCCCACTGTGCCCTGGGCTCCTTGGAGGAATAATGAGTCGGTTCTGATTCACAGGGACCGAACTGCCCCTCTGGGTTTCTGAGGCTGTCAGCTTTGACAAGGGCAGCTGGCCACATCTTCCTCTCTCACAGCAGCTGGTCAGCTGGAACCACTGGCCTTTTGATCAGTGCTTAACCTACTGTACCACCACCACTCCTTGGAATATTCCTAAGAACTACAATGAGTACACTCCAAACTAGGCTTCTTCTATTTCCTTATCTCACCCTTATATTCCCATGAGCCAGGTGCCCCTCCCTCCTGTCTGCCGTTTAGGGTACAGCAACAGCCCCCCACCTCCTAGGCTTAGCAAAGCTCTGAGCCCAGTCTTGGAACTGGGATCAGTGAAAACACTCAGGCTCCCAGGCCACTTTCTAAGCCACAGCAGAGCCTGGGGGATTTGCATATGGCTCCACCCCTCTAGGACTGACCTATTCCATGTATAATGAAGGAGACCACCTTGGCAGGGCAACCCTCATTCCTTAAGCTGACCACCAAGCCATGTGGGCTCTGAGGGCTCACTGACAGTCAGGCCCAATCATCATATGCTACCTCACACACCACGGGATTTATAGTCATGACCACCCCCACCCTTCCTCTCCCCATAAGCAGCCCAGGCAAGTCTTATAATAAACCATGCTTACTGGTTTGTGGTCTACTAGGGCCCCTTGAAGGTTGCCCCACTTGACCAGTTTTTATCCCTTTTCAAATTGCTGGGGTGTTACCTGCAGGACCAACTGTTGCCAGGCCATCGGCAGGGGCTGCCCACAGCCCACACCACCACTGCCCATGCCAGGCTGCTGAGCACGCTCCAGTTGCAACGCCACGTGGCGCCGTTCTTGCTCCAGTGCCCGTGTCAGCCTCTCGAAGCGGGCCTCCTGCTCCTTCACTGAGGCCAGGATGCTGGCTGCTGAGTGCACGGTGCAGTCCTCCATGGCCTGGTGGCAGCCAGCTGGAGACAAAGCAGAGTCAGGTTAGGCTGGCTGGAGTAGGTAGGGCGGAGGCCTGGTGAGACCAATCGTGGGAAACCCCTGGCCCCATCCCCCACCCTGCAGGAACACAGGATCACTCCTCAAGCAGAGCATCCGGCTCCTGGGAGAGGACGCTGCATTGATTGAATTCTAAATTATAAGCTATTAATCCGAGGCTGACCAGAAGCAGCTGGCTTTCTTCCCACAAGGCCTGGGCCTCTGACCAGGGCTTTTCGACTTCCAGCCAGACCCAGCAAACCATCCATGAAGATGCCTCGGGGCTACTGGGAGGGGCAAGGAGAGCTGGCAGGGCCACACTTACTACTTCACAGGCGCTTGTGCCCTGCCCATCACCCAGCAGCTCACCCAGCTCAGAGAGAGGGATGCTAAGACTGGGAGCTGGTTTGCAGCCACCCCGCTGGTGCGGCTGGGGGCCCAGGTGAGTGAGCATCAGTGGTTCTGCAGGGGCTGAGTGCCTGCTGGGGAGTATGAGGGCAAGGCAGTGGGGGGAGCTGGCAGGCCCCAAGACCCTCCTATGTGGCTTTGGTGAAGCTCAGGGCTTCTGGGGCCTGGCCCAGCACTGCCCTCTAGGGTCCCAGCAGCACCACCACCACCCCTGCCCCCAGGGAGGTAGGCAGTGGGGGTGGGGTGGCCCCAGACAAGCCAGCATTTTCCCTCCCAGGCTACCTAGTGAATTTGTTTCTTAGTTGGCAAGAGGAAACCTTATACAAGTATACGAGCACAGATCTAAGCAGCAATCAGTGGCATGAACACCCTGCCCTGGCAGGCGAGGTCCATGGCCAGCACACACTCCAAGAGGGGCACAGGGCCTCCGCCTGGTCCACCCACCGCAGAGGAGACCAGGGCCCTGTACATGACAAGGGGGCACTTGGCTAACTGGCTTGAGCGGAGCCTGAGGAGAAGGAGGGGCAGGGCTGGGCTTGGTCACACCAATACCAGACGAAGCAGGGACATACTGGTAGCATGGATGCACCTCAGAGTGATGGGACACCCACCAGAGAACTCAGACCCACCGTGAAATCTTGGGGAAACCAAAGTTCACTGACAACAAAAGGTCAGCCCAGGCCCCAAGCTGGGCTTTATTTCCCTGGCAGCTGTCACACAAACCAAACTGTCAGTGTGAACTTCCGGGGAAGCAGTGCTAGCAGAGGAACAGCTGTTAAGTCAGCTGGGGCAGAGGGGGAAGCCCGGCGCCATCCTGGTCACAGCTGTAGGCACAAAGCCTCCGAGCACGCAAGAGTCAGGTCCTCCCGCACACGTGGGCAACACTCATAGGCAGATGCTGATGGACTGAAACCGGTGGCTGGGCCCAAGGGGACATCAAGGGTTTTCCTCCACAGGAAAAAGGGTTGTGTGGGAGGAGGGTGGGGGGTGGCAGGAAAAGGTCACTGGAGCCTTCAGCTTAGTCTTGTTTGCAACATCAGACCACTATCAGCAGAGCCTTGGAACCAAACCAAACCTGAGGTTCTTGAGTTGACTCTTACTCAGAGTGACCCTGTAAGGCAGAGGAGAACCACTCCCTCGGGTTCTCAAGGCTGTTAGACTTCATAGGAGCAAACTGCTCCATCTGTCTTCAGCAGAGTGGCTGGTGGGTTTGAACCACTGACCTTGCAGTTAGCAGGCTACCGCGTAAACCACTGTGCCACCAGGGCTCCTTTTTGAAACCAAGGGTTGGTGTGTAAAGGAAGCGGCCCTGGGGCCTTCACAGCTGTGCCCAGGCTGTACTGGAAAAGAGAAGGGAAGGTGAACCCAAGGGAACAGTGATCAGGATTCAGGGGCCACACTGGTAACTATTCAGCTCAGAGCAACAAGAGGGAAGAAAGCTGGGCATGAGCCTGACTGACATTGGCCAATACCACTGGGCTTCTTGAGGATGCAAGAGAAAGAACCTTTTCTCTGAGTGCTTATAGATTAAACCAATCCTACAATACTGTGCTCAGAGGTTGGGTGAGAAGGATTCCCTGCTAGGTGAAGAACTATCACAAAGCTAATGAGGGTTGGGAGTGGGCTACCTTGTTCCTACACACAGTGTGCTTCACACCCCTGTCCCAGGGTGGGTGAGGGTAATTGACCAGAGGAAAGGCTTCTCTAGCCCTAGGCAGCCAGAAGTGACCTCCTCATAGAGAGGTGACTCCAGCAGGATCCAGGCTAGAAAACATGCCCCAGGAACTGGGGAGAGGGCCAAAGAGGGACAGGATTGAGATTCAAACTTGAAAATCATGAACTGCAGGAGAGACGATAACCCAGTCACAGTTGGTTGTATACTCACCACAAGCCTGGCATCAGGTCAGGTACCCCCACCCACCATTTACAGGACCACACTAGACAAGGTAAAGACCCTCTGGGAGGCGAACCACTCTACCGTATGCCACTGATAGGGAGGGGCTGGAGAAAGCGTAGTGGGTGGTCAGTGAGAGGATGGCTGGGCATGGGGTGGGTGGACAGACAGATGAGTGAATGGATAAATGAATGGGTGAATGGATAAATGAATGTAGTAGGTAGATGGGTATGCTTGGGGAGGTATGGATGATTGCATGGGCAGATGAATGGAGCGGCAGAAGATAGGCAGATGAATAGATGGATGAGTGGGAGGTCAGGGGAGGTTGGATGGAAGGGATGGATGTATGAATGGGAGGATGGTAGAGGGATGGGTAGATGAACAGATGACTAGGTAGGTGGTGGGTGAATGGATGTATGGATAAATAAATCCAAGAATGAGCAGGAGTATGCACAGGTGGGAGAAAAGGAGGCTGAAAAGTTGGGACATATAGATGGATGGGGTGGATGGGACACGGCAAGATAAATGGGTGGGTACTTTGCTGGGCAGATGGGTAAGAACGAGGCTTAGAAACACTGGACTAGGAAGAGGAAGGCCCAGCCCTCTAGGGCAAAATTGTCCGATGCCCCATCAGGAACACTGAGGCTATAGCCAGCCAGTGACAGAATCAAAGGAGTCCTCCCTCTGCGAGTGTTGCTGACATCTGATGTCTTCTGGCCAGCCGAGACATTCCTTCTCAGAAGAACCCAGCCAAAGCCCCGCTCCAGAAAATTAAATTAAGAAGCCCAAGTACACTCTTGGATGAAGAATTAGAGGAATTTCCTAAGGGTCAGGCCTGCAGGGCGGCAAGGAGGAAACCCTGCCCCCATTGGTCAGTTGCTAGAGGACAGTGAGTGCCACCTGTGTTTTTACCATTTCCTCAGTGGACAACAAACTGACACCTCATCACACTGGCCACTGGCCTTTGTGAGATCTTACCCAGAACACTCTTTCCCAATTAACCCACTGTGGCTGCCTGGTGTCCAAGACTTGGCAGGGGAGTAGGGGGCGGTAAGGGAGCTCCTGGGTTAGTCCACAAGCACCGTAGCTCTGTGAAGGCTGGGGATGAGGCCAAGGCAGCAGGCCTGAGAGTGAGGTTCACCCAAGGTATGGTCCCTGATCGTCCACACCAAAGGTAGAGGGGCTGAAGCAGGACCACCCAAGAGTCCCGATCACTACTGGGCTAGAGGCACCAAAGCTCACCCAGCCATGCTGGGTCTAAAAGATGGGGACCAGCTGCCATCGAGTCAATTCCGACTGCTATCAACAGGACAGGGCAGAGCAGAACTGCCCCAGGGTTTCTGAGGCTGTCTGCCTGTCCAGGAGCCTCATCTTTCTCCTGAGCAGGTTAGCAGCCAGAAGCTTAACCCCCTACACCCCCAGGCCTCCTCAAAGATGGGAAGAAACTGCCCAAAAAAAAAAAGAATCGAGTGGCTTGACTTCGTAAAGATGGACTATTTCTTTATCTCCAAAGTAACTAAAAATGAACAAAGGCCACATGGGGTCACATTTTTTAAATAGTCTGCTATCAGCTAGAGCAACACTCGCAGCGTCACAGATGACATGATAGGTGGCTTTCCAACCACAAGGGAGACCCAGAGAGGGAAGCCGTGCGGTGATCGTTGGGTTAGGGACCATCAAGTCAGTTCTGATCCATCGTCACCCTGTGTACAACGCTGCCTGATCCTGTGCCATCCTCACAATTCTTGTTATGAGTTGGGCTGTGATCCACAAGGAGAGCAGTTCAAAACCACCAGCCGCTCTGCAGAACAAAGACTGGGCTCTTGACTCCCATATAGTGTTAGAGTCTCGGAAACTTACAGGGGCACCTGTTCTACCCTGTCCTGAGCACTCAGAGTCACTATGAGTTACCATTGATGGGTGGTGGAAATTCATGCACACTGCTGCCTACCCAGGTGCTTGGGAGTGTCCCTAAGAAACACAGAAATAAGATCCATGTACAGAGCCCTCACATGGATGAAGCCCCGAGAACCCCTTGGGATCACTGATAAGGGAGGTGAAAAATCTTGCGCTCAGACAGAGTGCACTGGAAAATAAAGTTCTGCAGATATAAACCAAACTCCAAACTCACTGTGGTCAAGTCAATTCTGACTCATAACTACTCGACAGGACAGGGCTGAAGTGTCCCTGTCATCTTCCAAGACTGTAACTCTTCCAGCAATAGAAAGCCTCCTCTTTCTCCCTTGGAGCAGCTGGTGGTTTCGAACTGCTGACCTTGTGGTTAGCAGCCCAATGCACAACCACAACACCAGGGCCAAATTTAACATGTGACCATTTGTTTTCCCTTTTGACTCAATTTAAACTTGGTCTACTTCTATTCGCTTCTGCTTTCTCTTGGATCGAGGTTTTTCTGTGTCATATTTTGTTGTGGTTGTTGATGGGTGTTAAGATTATCTTTATGTGATTTCCATAGAGACAGTAAATACATTCATAGTTCCTTAAGGTTATGGCAGGGGAGAACTGGGGGCAGTGGGAAGGTTAGCAAGAATGGGTACAAGAAGAACATGTTCTGAAATTGTGATCATTGCATAGCTCTTTTTTTTTTTAATCATTTTATCGGGGGCTCATACAACTCTTATCGCAATCCATACATACATCCATTGTGTCAAGCACATTTGTACA